CTTCCCGCCGCGGTGGACCCCTGGTTGGCTGACCCTGCGGCCAGCCTAGCTTCCCTGCCTCCTGCGCGAGCGCTTCCCACTGCGCCCCCGGGCTGTGCGCTTGTCTTGCTCTAAGGTCCCTTACTGCGCCATCCAGCCACGGGCTCTGCGCGCCCTCTGCCTTGTTCCTTCCCTTTCGCTGTATCCCGCGTTTGTCAAGACTAGGGAGATTTTGGGGCTCGGACTGAAGAGCTAGTTAGGTTGCCCACCCCACACTGGGCAAGCAGGGGCCTACTTTGCGTGGGGCACCTGGGGCGCCTTAGTGACTTGTAACGAAGCTGTTGCGGCCGATAGATTCATTTAAACTAATGACTATTGGGCTTTTTCTTACCGCTGTGCGCTTTGAGGTGTCCCCTGCCCCCATCCTGACCCGGCCCCCTCTCTCTGGGTTTTCGATAGTACTTTGGCTGCTCCTTTGTTCTTGGGGGCGAAGCAGAAGGCCTGGGGTTGATAGCTCTCTGTTGTCCGGAGAGCTGCAGCCTGCCCTGGGGCTGCTCTGAGCCGCTGATTGTGTTCTGTTTCTGGGTTTTGATCCACGCGAGCAGAATCATTTCGAACATACGGAAGGGACTTAAAGCTTGCAGTGACAAAAAACCAAGTGACACAAAACCAAGTGGGCACGCAAACACCTGGGTGGCTCAGATACAGCTTCAGGCATTGTAAAAAGCCAGGCCAAGAAGCCGCTCTCGGCCCAGAGAGCAGAAGCCTCGCGGAGCCGCGGACTCCGGAAAGCCGCCGGCGCTGTCTCCGCTGCTGCGGAGTGCCGCTTTTATGCAGCGGGCTTCCGAGACTCGACCACCACCAGGCATTGTTAGGCCTAGAGGCTCGATCAGAGGGAAACTTCCAAAGCCTCTGGGGACACACGGTCACAGTGGACCCAGGGAGTTCCGGGTATGGTGGGGATACTACGAGGAACCCTTTTTAAGTTTGGGAGAACTCCTTGCAGGCCTTGTCACATGAAGGGAGAAGGCAGCAGTGACCTCACGGGTGACCGCTCCTCTGTGTCATTTGCTTACAGATCAACAAAAAACTACAGTGATTGAAAACGGGGAAATCAGGTTCAACGGAAAGGGGAAAAAGATTCGGAAGCCTCGGACCATTTATTCCAGCCTGCAGCTCCAGGCTTTAAACCATCGCTTCCAGCAGACTCAATACCTGGCCCTTCCCGAGAGAGCCGAACTGGCAGCTTCCTTAGGACTGACACAAACACAGGTAATTCCCGAGAAGCCCGAGTATCCCTGAAATGCTGGCCCTGCTTGCCAATCGTGCAGAGAGCACATCAGGAGGAATTCTTGGCCTAGTCAACCAAGGATGCAAGGAGCTAAATGACAAATGCTTATGTTCCGGTTGCGCATTTTCACGGGATCACACAGTTTGGAACAAATGACATGGTATTGGATACTGGATTGGATTTGCATATACACCAACCCTCTGCGACTCCAGCCGAGCCTAGCATCTTTCGGTGAACAAAAGCATAGCTCAATCAAATCCGATTTCAGAGCATAATAACATGACACAAAACAATTGTGTGTGTGTGTGTGAAAGAGAGAGAGAGAGAGAGAGAGAGAGAGAGAGAGAGAGAGAGAGAGAGAGAGGAGAGAGAGTGAGTTGGGGGTTGCCAGCTAGTAAGCAAAATAAGGACATTTCTTAAGGACCTTCTTGTGACCCCTGGAGAGCTAATAAGAATTTCAACTCATTGACATAGGAAGGAAACTTAAGAGCTGAGACAAGCAGCAAGTTAACTAGACACATTTTCCAGTAGCTTTATAAAGGCATCTGTGTGAAGCCATTCCCTCCAGGATGGGTAAGCTAGGGATTTTTGAAGATTGCTTTAAGCTCAGTGATTACATCACCCTGATACCAAATAGTACAGGTTGGGGGTACTTCACTATAGTCTAGAACTTGACAGAATAGAAACACAAAGAGAATATTCCCCCAATTATGGCCTGGGACACCACAAATAATAGTCCTGGTCACTTGAGATATGTGCTGGACGGCTCAGACTTCACAGAAAGGAGCCTAAAGGTGACTAGATTAGGCTGCGCTCTCAAACCATCAGTTAAACCTACTGCTTAGGCTGGAGAGGCCTACTATGTGCTTAGGCTGGAGAGGCCTACTATGACATTCATCACCTTCATGTAGCAAGGTCTTCAGGTCTTACAAGACAGTTGCCCAGACTGTCAGCAAGCCACTTCCCTACGCTCTTTCCCATCAGCCCGATCTCTAGTGCCATGGTACCACTGAAAATATTTGAGGTTTCCTATGATACTCTAGATACTCCATGACTCTTATTCTTGGAAAAACAGATTCAGGAATTTCAAAGGTAAAGCTGCTTCGTACATTTTCTTTCATCAAAAAAAATTTGGGTTGTTGTCCTAAATGAGCTGCCAACACAGACTTCTGATTCACATGTGGTTTTCAGAGGCCTTTGACTTCTAGTAGCTATCCAATCATGTGATGATTGATGACCTCTGTTTGCTTAAGTAACATACTAGGTAGGGAATGGGGGATGGTGCATGTCTTAATCCCTGCAGGCCTGGGAAGATATTCACGTCTGGAGAAAGATATCTCAGTCAGATTCCGTGGCACAGGTATGATCAAGCGATTTGCTTGTGAAAGGCAGCCTTTAATCAATTCATAGTCATTTTGCTACTTGGGTATGCATAGCATTGCGAGTTTGGGGGTTATTAAATATGAAACTAAATAATTGGAGGAGGCAAATTCAGTTGTAAGATTTTGACCCAAAATCTACTTCACTTCAATGTCCATAAAATTTTGGTCCACCAATCTCATTTGATTTATTTGTAATTTTATGTTGATACTTTAAAGCCCAGGCTAGGATTCAACCCAAGAATCACAAGAACTGTAGGTATCACAGCAAGATAAGAGTAGGCCTATAGTAGAGAAATGGAGAGGGCTGTAAAGAGGTGAAGGGGTTGCTTTTTGGAATTGCAATGGTTTTGTTGTTTATTTTTATATTGCTTCTTGAGCCTAGGACGCTAATCGAAGGCACCGGTTTGATGTTTATCTGGCCTAATGATTGCTGCATTTCTTGCAGGTGAAGATATGGTTTCAGAATAAACGCTCTAAGTTTAAGAAATTGCTGAAGCAGGGCAGTAACCCCCATGAGAGTGACCCTCTCCCAGGTTCAGCAGCCCTGTCACCTCGCTCGCCAGCACTTCCTCCAGTGTGGGACGTTTCTGCCTCCACCAAGGGCGTTAGTATGCCCCCCAACAGCTACATGCCTGGCTACTCGCCCTGGTATTCCTCACCACACCAGGACACCATGCAGAGACCACAAATGATGTGACTTGCTGAGTGGATGGCCTCCGGGACTTCCCAGAGAAGCTCTGAGAACCCAGGACTCACCTGCATCTGCCAAACAGCCTAAGTGACAAGCTCAGAGGAACTGTCCCTGGGATCTGGGTCTCTCCTCTCTTCTCTCTCTCTCTCTCTCTCTCTCTCTCTCTCTCTCTCTCTGTCTCTCTCTCTCTCTCTCTCTCCTTCCTACTCTCTTTCCTTCCTCCTTTTATTTTTTCCACCCCTTTTATCTTTTTGTCCTTCCTTTCCCCATTCCCTCCCTTTCTGCAATCGCCTCTCTTCAGTAACTTAATAAGTCTTTAATAAGTAACTTTGCATCTGACAGAGAGAGAGAGAGAGAGAGAGAGAGAGAGAGAGAGAGAGAGAGAAGTTTTTGTCCAGTGTTCTGGAAACCCATCACTGTAAGGATATTTTCCCTCACACCTTGGGATCCAGGCCTCGGGCCTCCTTTTTGGGACTCAACATCAAAATGACTTTTTTTTTTAAATAGACATTCTACACCCGCAGAACAATCTGCACAAAAACATGGCAGCATTTTTACTTGTTTAATGTGTTTAAGACATTATGTGATGAAAGACAAGGATTTTGGACTCCTGAATTTTTATTTACAAATCCAAGACTGAGAGAAAAAGGAGAAGAAGAAGAAGAAGAAGAAGAAGAAGAAGAAGAAGAAGAAGAAGAAGAAGAAGAAGCCCCAGTATCCCTTCTCTAAAGAAAGAAGAGAAATTGGCTGTGAAATTAGAACGTTGCACAAAGGAAACGCTGCATGTCTTACCTAAATGCAATGACCTGGATCAATGATTCAACTAAATACAAACAGTAACAGCAACAAGAAAGATGCTCTTTGCATAACCCACCTCTAAACTCTGAATCAAGAAAGACCAAGGAAACAACCAAAATCACCATTCTATTGCTTTGACACCTCTCCTAGGTGAATAGTGGCATTCACTAAGCTAATAGGGACCTTTATATCAAGAAACATTTCTGTATATATTGTTGAATTTTAGTTGTATATATACTTTGTATGTTTTTGTCTTCTTTCATATATGGAGTAAAAGCCACAAAATGTTGGGAGTGTCCTCTGTTTCTCCAAGTGTCCCTATCCCTTCATTGTTCCTCCTTTTCATATATATGTATATGTATGTATATATATATATATATTCACCTCTCCTAAAACAATTTCTGATTCCTAATATGGGGTGCTCTATACAGACTTAGCAAGTGCCTGAAGAGATGTCAGTTTGCACCACAAGCCTTTGTCTTAGGAACCTTAACAAGAGCCGTGCATGTTTTCCCCCCATTTAATTTTGTTGTGATTCGTATACACTTTTGTATTTTTTAAACATTATTATAACGTATTCCCAGGCTAACGTCTAGACATCCAGGCACTTCCAGTACTGTATCTGAATATTATTCTTCCCCCTTTCCCAGACAAAATAGTACAGCTATATTGGCCTTTGGAAGCAGAAAAAAATAAATAAACAAATTGGTTAATTAAAAAGAGGAAAGAATAACAAACCCAGAAAGCAAAGTGCACAATTTTGATTACTTAATGTTGAAAACCCACTGCCAGCTAGCGAGGTAGGAAAAATGTGCTGTCCTGGGAGAAACGCATCCTTCCGATCTCGTGGAAAGCAAAGAAATAATGGAAAGGAAAAGTCCTTTCGTCATACAAGCAGGAAGCCCCATACTGTGAGAATTAATGGCTACAGACCTGGGCATCCTTCAAATTATGAACCTTGAAACCACTGAGCCATTTATCAGAAGTCAATAGAGATACTCAGAGTGCTCCATATAATGACAGCGACATACAGTCGTGCAAAAGGACAGTCACTATAATTAGACACAAGGCAAAGACTACTTACCAATATACCCGTTCCTTTTTTTGTTGAGCAACTTCCACACTCAGTCAGTCTTCAGAATGGTTTAAAACCGATCAGTCTTGTCATTTTCTAGCATTCCCATTGTTACATTAGGAAAAATGTTTTCTTTTCTTTTTTCCCCCTTCCTACTGTGAAACTTTGGGTTCGTAGCTCCCCAGGATCAATTCTGAACAAAGCCTCCAGCTGCAGTGCCATCCAATTTGAAGCAGACATTGGGGACAATTTAAGGTTTTTATCCACAAGAAGGTTTTTTTCCATTCTCTTAAATGCAGCCATAATTAGAGTAATTTTTCATGTAGCCCGCTGATTACAGCGTTTTTACCGTCAAAGATAATTACCTGTAATTTTCTTCCACTTTTAATACTAAAAAGCCATCTTTATTTAGATTCAGGAACAGGAAAGGCGAAACAAAAGAGGGAAATTATTCTGTTATTCATACACAAATTGCAGAGACGTAGGACCTAAAATTGAAAATTAACCAAAATTATAATGCTGAAAAGAATGGAAGAGGCTGCAGAAGTACAGCTGGTAGTGGGGCTTTGCTGAATTATTCAAATTATGTCAGAGAGAAAGCTACCATATATCCAAACCAACACTAATTTTTTTTTCCTTAAAAAAATTTACCAAATATATGCCAAACCACTGTGAGTGTGTGGAATTCTGAAACCCGGCCAATGTATGTTACTATGATGGAGGCTGGTGATGGTATTTCTTCACCCCATCTCTGTCTCTTAACATCAGCTGAATCATGTAAGTTCTAGGAGATAGGCCCCCTGGAACTCTCCATAGAGCTGGGCTCCCCCTGGATCCCCTGAACTTCAAGGGTTAATATTTTCTCTTTGAAAATGTATTGACCCCCTAGGAAACTGATTCCCTGAGGGAGGGATTGGTAGGAGGGGCGTGGGTGAAAGGCGTTGCCAGTTGAGGTGTCTACTGCGCCTCCCCACGTTCAGACTTCCTCCTAGGCGATAGAGTTTAAGTTCCAAAGCCCGGTTCTGACCATACTAAGGGGTGGGGTGGGGTGCGGAGCTGAGCTATTGGGTAAGGGTATAGGAGAGTGACAATTTCTCCTCCTCACGGATAAATAAGCACCTCCTTATCTTTGGATTAGGCTTAGTGCAAAGGTTCTTGCCACGGTAGAAAGCTTTTCTCCGCAGGGTGGGGAAGTCAGACATTGTGGGCTCCTGCACTAAACATTTCTAGCTGCTTATAAAACCTACAGGATCAGGAAACAGCGTCATCTGCAGATAGAGCAGCGCAGCTTTTTGCTAGTGTCTTCCTTGGTACATAGATTAGACTGCTTCCTTGGCTGCTTGTATCGGTTCTGTGTCTCAACCAATTATGCCCCTCTAACCCTAACATTTGGATTCAGCAGGTCCAAGATCTCGATACTTTCCCCTCCCCCATCACACACACACACACACACACACACACACACACACACACACACACACCACGGCTCTAAAGAAAGGCCCTAAGGAACAGCCTTGAAGGGCCTCAGATGCCAGTTAATCTACAAACTTCCCCCAGCTGGAAAGAAGATGTTCCAAGGGGCTGCAGAGTCCAGTGATTCGGGGACACCTGCGTCTGCTAACACGCATCTGCATACCTGACTGCAAAGAAGCAAGCCACACAGCCAGTTCCGTCTGATCTCTTGATACCTCAAAACCTAAAATCACAGCCGCATGTAAAAGTAAAAACCTCATTATATTTACCTAAGCAATTGTAAGTAACAATTTTCTGATAGATTTTAGCTTGGACTCTCAGGCTCCTTCCTTGCCTCCCAGAAACCTGGTCTTTTCCTAGTCTCCAGTCACAAACTACACCAAACCCATCAGCAGCACAGAAGCAAGACAGGCAAATCAGGTTCTTAAGGATCCCATTTTCACCAGATCAACTCTGTTACTGTTAAAGGAAAATCAAAGGTCAGAACCAAAGCCTAGAAAACAAAGTTGCAGTTCAAGGAAATCACAGCAACACATTACGTACATCATGGAGAGTATGAGGTGAGAAATAGAAAACCCGTGCCTAGAAGTACGCCAGAAATAAAAACTTACCCCAGTGAGTATCTCTTAAGCAATGATCAGGGTCTAGAAATCTATACTGAGCCGAAGCACAGGAGAGTATTTTTCTGAGTCTCAGGGCAGAAGCTCTGTGTCTATATTCTTGGTTGAGTGAGCACATCCAGGTGTGAAATTGTTTGCACACCCCAGCACCTCTTATATTGCCAGCAAAATTAGCTGTTATTACTGTCACTGTTTAGTGATGGTTAGCGTGATACAAAAAAAAAAAAAAAGCTGCTGTAATCAAGACCTGGCGCATCTTTGCAAATTACAGATAATTGTAAACGTCCAGATTATGATAATAGCATCCTAATCCAGCCTGCAATATAATTATTACAGAGTGTTACATCTGAAACTGTCCAGTAGGGCTAATTCAGCCATTATTTAGACCCTATTTTTTGCACTGCAAATGGGTTGCTGAGTTGAAAATGTACGATTGTAATTTCACGGGGCACTCAATGAGTAATGGTATAGGAAGAGGAATACAAAAGTGAAATGTGAACAGTAGCGATCAAATCAAACCCTGAAGGACAAAAGACTGTTTGATTCATATGGAAAAAGAAGAGCCAGAATTAAGAAAATAGCAAATCAGCGGTCTGAAGTATTATGTGTCCAAGTCTTGAGCAGTGTGGAGCTGATGCATTTGCAGGGGCTGCGGGCTGCTGACTGCCTGCCTGCAGCTTCAAGCAACGTTTCTCCTTCTCCTCCTCCTTCTTTTTCTTTTTAAAGTGCTCCCGTCTTTCTTCCCTCTACCAGAGCGTTTCCCTACATTTAAAGGTGTCCCTCCCCCACAGCCCCTCCCCCACAGCAAAGAACATTTGTCAATTTCGCCATTGTTTCCACCAAAGTCACCTCAGAACACGCCTGTCACTTGTTATGAACATATTTTTAAATGAATTTCCAATTGCTCTTGTCATCAGAGCAAAATGCTCTGGCTGCTTGGGAAGTGTTTGTCCTCGACTCCATCTCTGCTTTCTTTCACAAAGGAGAAGCTGGAGCGTATCTGCGAGGACATTAGCTGAACATGTATTAGTTGGTGTTAATTAAATAGAGCCAACTGGGAAGCTGCCATATTCAGTTGGTTTGGCTATTTGCTTTAATTTTGTCATTAACTTTATTAATTAAAACCTCCCCAAGTCAATCACTCTGGCTGCCTGAGTCACAATATGCCGGTTGGGCAAGGTTCCTCACCTTCCAACAGACTAGAAAGGGGTGGGAAGATCAGAGGGCTGGAGAGGGACAGAAAGCGTGTTCCTGGTCCCTGAGGATTCGATGGCTTCCAGTAGGATAACCTCTGCTCTAGTAGAGACTTTTCTGGTCTAATTCTGGTGGAACACCCCTGTCAGGGACACTGGCAAACCTTGTATCCCAAGGACTTCAGCTTCCCTCTGCTGTGCGCAGACTTTCCTGGGCCTCTTTTCAAGTCTTTAGGCCAATTGTGTCTCCCTCCGCCCAACAACACCTTAGAGACCCGAGCGCTGCCCAGCCTGGGCCACCCTGCGGGGTGGCAAGCAGGCTCCCTACCTCCTGGGAATATAAGGGCAATAATGAAATGTCCCCTGTTTAGTGACCCCTGTTTACAGATGAAAGTTGAGTCCATACCCTGCCTCCCCACACCTCACCCCTGCGCCCCCTCTTTCCCACCTCGCAAATGGCAAGTGGCAGAAATAGTTCTAGGATGGCAATAAGCATCCAGCGACAGTTCCTGTTTTCACACCTTTCAAGACAAAAATGCTTTAAAATAAATCATAGCTTGGGAAGTGTTTACCATCCTTCACTCCCACCTACTTCTTTAAAAAAAAAATACAGCAGACTGGCTATGATGGATTCCATAGAGAGTTGTTACTGAAACCAGAAGAGAGAGAGAGAGAGAGAGAGAGAGAGAGAGAGAGAGAGAG